TCCAGCAACATTTGAGAGGCTGATGGAACGAGTATTGGAAGGTGTACAAACTGATCCTGATAAGGTGAAAGCAGTGCATGACTGGCCAACACCAGACAATGTGGGAGAGCTAAGAAGTTTCTTGGGACTCTGTACCTACTACCGCAAATTTGTGAAGGACTTTGCAACTATAGCTGCTCCACTACATGATTTGACTTAAAAAGGCCAAAAGTTTGAATGGACAGTTTCTTGCCAGCATTCCTTCAAGACGTTGAAGGAAAAATTGGCCTCTGCTCCACTTTTAAGGCTTCCAGATCCCTCACTGCCGTACATACTGGATTGTGATGCTAGTAATGTCGGATTTGGAGGAGTGTTGTCTCAGAAAGTGGGCGAAAACGAACATGTGGTGGCCTACTTCAGTAGGGTGTTGAGTAGATCCACTATGTCATATGGGCCTTCCCATGGAGAAGACAACTTAGGAGACTTCCCTTTGGTCTTCCTGGGATTATACAACCACACCTTATCTCCTGGTTCAAAGCTGACTTCAGTAGATCTCTTATCATAAGATAGCTTCATCGAATCAGCAGACGTTTTCAGGTTTGAATGCACTTGATGGGGAATATCATCCATCCTTTCCGATAACACTTTCACAAACTCTGACACATTCTCAGGCAACTCTTCATAAGGTGGGCGTCCTGTTAACAGATCCACTGGCAACCGAAGTTCCCGACCAATCATCAACTTTGCTGGAGTATATCCAGTGGTTTCATGCTCTGCTGTCCTATAGGCCATCAACAGCAGAGGGAGTAAGACATCCCAGTCATCTTGACGGCTATTACAAAACTTTGCCAATTCCTGTCCCAATGTCCAGTTCTACTTTTCTACCATCCCATCAGACTGTGGGTGAAGTGGCGTTGTCCTGGTCTTTCGGGTGCCAAACAACTTGCAGCATTCTTGGAAGACAGCTGATTCAAAGTTAAGGCCTTGATCTGAATGCAGTTCATATGGCATACCAAATCTGAAGAAGAAGTCACTAATAGCCGAAGCTACAGTTGTAGCTTCCTAATTTGGTATTGCATATGCCTCAGGCCACTTGGTGAAATAATCCATCACCACACAAATGTACTTGTTTCCAGCACGAGTTTGGGGCAGAGGACCTGCAATGTCGACAGGTACTCTTTTCATTGGTGCACCAACTTGATATAACTTCATTGGAGCACGTCCCTTATGCTTGGGTACCCTTTTAGCACAACATGTACTGCATGTTCTGCACCATTCTTCCACATCTTGTCTCATACCTATCCAGTAAAATCTCTGTCGTAGGTGACTCAATGTTTTCTTAACTCCGAGATGTCCTCCTGTTACAGTATCATGGGATTGATGCAACATAACTTCCCGTAACTTCCTTGGTATAACCGTTTGCCAGTTCGTCACTTTCCCATCTGAAGTTCCCATCTCCGGAGAAGAATACCATCAAGTTTCAACTGGTCCCATTGTGCCCAATAGTTCTTTGTCACAGGGCTTAGACTAGACACCTTCTCCCAAGCAGGGCACAAAACATTGCTTATAGTCGGCTTGACTTCAGCTTGATGGCACCTGGTTAGTTCAACCTCTCTTTTGCAGCAATGTCTGCAGTCATTTTCGCAGGGTCTTTGGCTCAGTCCATCAGCATTACCACGGGATTTTCCTTCTCTATATTCAATATTATAATTATACTGGTCTATTTTTCCGATCCAACGTACCAGTTGTCCCTCTGGGTTCTTTAATGATCTTAAATAGCATAACGCAGCACGGTCTGTCCTGATGGTAAACCTTGCACCATAGAGGTAAGGATGGAAATATGTCAGATTCTTTACTATAGCAATGAGTTACCTCCGTGTTACACAGTAGTTCCTCTCTGGTGGTCTCTCAGACGTGACTTTCCGGATAAAATGTGGTCGGCGAGGTAAGCCAAAAGTGGTGCATGCCAACAGGCTTTGGCGTTATCACGGCCCAGGACATTTCAGTTGGGATGAAGTGAACAAAGGAACAAATGACGCTGCTGAAGAGGTGTCACCTGAAAAAGCCAACGTCGAAAAAGAAACTCTACTCAGTTTTGAGAAGGGAAACGATGAAGCTCTTGATGAAGTTACTACCACTGATGTGACTGTTACCAACGATAGGACATTTACTGATGAAGCAGATGAACCCCACATGAAGCAGAAGCCAACGAGACGGAGACCAGTACGGAAGAAGATACGTCCCGTAAAATTAAGAGACTTTGTTGAATTGTAATTTTGTGTTTGTAATTCTTTACATTTTAATTAAGTTATTGGTTTATTATATGTGGTTATTGTTCGGGACGAACAATACTAAGGAGGGGGCAGTGTTGCGTCAGCGAGGTCACGCCACATTTCTAGAACTATCCTGTTCCTTCGTGAATGCCCTAGCATTTACTAGATATATGTTAGTCTGGTATATATATAGGACGCTAACAACGTGACGAGACAAGAATGTGTATAGGTAGTGAGTAATTGAACTGCAGTCAGAAAGTATTGTTGAAGTTAATGTTCGTTGTTAAAACGTTTGTTATAGAGCGACTGTTGAAAATAAGTGTATCGGTAAAGTTATATTCGGAAAGAATAAACCAGTTTTATTAAGAAAGAACTTGTGTCACTAAAGTTTCGTCGGAACGAAGTTACGGAAAATCAATTAACGACTGGAGGCGTAACATTTCTTTTCTCGTTCTTCTTGTTTCTTTTGCTGTTCTTGTATTGCTGCCATCAAATCTGTTAAGTTGTAGTTTGATTTGTCACCTCTCGTTTCCATTTTTTTCTTCTTTTCTGTCCCACTCTCTGACACTAATTTGTTGCATATTTGCTTCTTTGTTAATTTCCTATAGAAATTCTTTCCGAGAAACTTCAGCGATACATGTCCTTTCTTGATTGAAACTTGTTTATTCTTTCTTAATACAAACTTTGTAATACACCTAACAACTTTTATAAATGACAGTGATTCACACACTTTACTTACGGTTCCTACTGTTCGCTTGACTCAATTATCTATATGCCGCTCGCTTTCTTTGCCAGGCTTATATATACACTTAAAAAGAAGGCATCTAGATCACACTCGAGCTGGCGGGCAAATTCGAGAAACTCTAGCGCGCATGTTCCCAGCGTCGCGTGACTTCCGCTGTCGTAACAGATGAATATATGTTGTGATAAGGATCTCAGTAATGCACATAGTATAACCATCTGTTTATTTCATTAAGTCTTCGATCTTGTGTCCCTTGGAACTAAGTCCACCTACAGGCTACAGCATGTAGGACTGTAAATTTACGTTCGGAAGTAACCCATCACAGTTTGTATAATTTGTGAGAACTATCCTGTGGTGCCAGGTGTTTTGTAGTTGTGCTGATTATGATTGTCAGGTAATCTGTGTTGTTGTTTGGGTTCTGAACTTTATCTATGAAGTCGAAGATCATGTTAATGATGGCTGTGATAACAGGGCTGGAGTTCGAGCTAGTTTTCATATTTTCTTTCGGCTGACTTCCGACTTTGTGATTGTAGTGTGTTGTTATGTTCTGTCTGTATGATTAGTAGCTGGTTCTTTCACTGATTGCTTTGTATGCGCCTTAGCAGCTGCAGCGTATGTTTTTATGGTTTGAGGTTCTAACAGCGCTTGGTGCTGATACAATCAGTGATGAGTTAAAAAAAAACAATAAATGCCCACTCTTGCATCGCAAAGCTTAGCGAATTGGTTGAAAAACTAACTTCCAGCACTTGCACATCAATACTTATTCACAACTTTCTTGCAAACAGTGAAAATGGTCATAAAATAAATTAGCTACATTCCCAGGTGATGTTAATAATAATGAAGAGTTAACGAGAACGAACGGTGGGACACACTGGCACAGGATCAAGGTTATCACACACTTCTCTAAAAATTTTCCTCCTAAAAACTCCCCCATTTTCAGCTGTTTTCAGCATCTCCCTTCATGAACTTATGTATAACGTATTGTTCAAGAATAAGAATAAAAAAAATATTATAATTTCATATAGACTATTGTTACGTGTACTTTACATAGATATAAGATATGAGTTAATAAATAAATTATCAATGCAAAATTGTGTATATTTACAAGATTTTAGGCACACAATAACCAAAATCAGAAACTCTAATACGAAAGGAAGTATGTTTAATATAAGAAAGAAGCGTTTCAGAAGAAAATTCACAACCTAAAAGACTACTAAAATTATTATTACTTGTAAGCACAAACAAAATATTATGTTGAAAATGTGTGTCGAAGTTCATACAATTAGGATAAGTATTTCAAATATGAGAACAAAACAAGCATGTGATCCTGATAGGGTTAATATACTGTTACGTATCCGTTCGTTAGTTAAATTTTCCGTAAAAATTCTTTCCGAAGAAACTTTACCGATACAAGTCCTTTCTTAAATAAAACTGGTTTATTCTTTCTGAATACAACTTTGCGATACACTTAATTTCAACAGTCGCGCTATAACAAACACTATAATTCACAACGAACGTCTCACGTGCTCAACAGTATTCTCTCTCTCCGCAGTTCAATTACACATTACCTCACGTTCAGTTCTTACCGGTTTATATATACAAGACTACGACTTATCTAGTAGGTTCTCGACAATTAGGGAAGGGACGTGAACGTTCGAGAAGGACGTGGCGTGATACTAGTCACGTGCCCTCCGCTGTCGCAACAATACTTATAATGTGTGATTTATGGTTAAAACTAAAGCCTGTGCAATTGGCTACTCCATAACTCACTGTTAGAAGGTTGGTGAAATGATTAAAATATTTCTAAGAATCTAATTACAGAGAACATAAAATTCCCCATTTTTATCTGAACACCCATTTAAAAAATAAATTCTCCACACAATTTCTTTTATTTTCTCTCCATTGGTTTAATTTTCCTCCATTAATGAAGAATTTTCCCCAAATTTAGCAACCCTGAGCACTTCTTCCTCATCAAGTGGAGAGTGCGGCCGCCCCCCAAGACCTCCACTTTCCGCGTCCTCGTTCTGAGGTATCATTCGCAACCTGAAGTCGAATTAAGTTGCTTTATTAAAATGTTAAATATATATCGATCTGTTCCAGGCATGGCTGAGTTTTTAGCTTGATCGGACTATTAATCCGAGGGTTCGTGGCTCACAACCCGTTTCAGCAAAAACTCTCTTCACACTTTTCGACTGCAAGTATGTAATAAGGATATTGGTCAAATCCCACTTTTTGATTAGACAAGAGCAATCTAAAAATTAGTGGTGAGTGCTTTTGAGTAGCTGCCTTCCTTCTGCACAGATAACCTTATGAATAGCTTTGCACGAACATTCAAAAGAAACAAACATCTTCAGCGTATATTTTAATTATAGTATTTCATTTTTCATATATTAATGATATTTCAATTAGATATTTTATTCCGATCAGTCTATAACTTTAATACAAAACATATTCTCCCAACAATAATATACTTATCTGCGATGTAGTTAAAACCAAATAATACGAATACTTTATTTTACATTTCCGAAAATCTTTCATTTAGTTTGTTAAACAACTGATAGATGGTAGTAAAATAGCATATACGTTATTATAAGTAAAAGCGCGAAACTTAATGTTATCCCTTCAAGCTTGAAAGTTGTAGTATGTATTGAGAAGGTGATTTATATTTTTAGTAACATTGAAATTAAAGAATAGTTGTTTTGAGTGATTTTCTCTTGTGCACTTTAACAATAGAATTATGAATGATATTTTGTGGCTACACTAACTGTTATTTAATTGCAATTACTATTGATAGTGAATAGTAATTTAGTATAACAACACGCTAAATACCCATCTTTAAATTTCTAAACCATCGATATCGACCATGTCAGACATTGAAAGCCAAGGGCTAATTGACATATCGAAATTTTATCGTAAGGTGAGTAGTTTTAATCTTACTCTATCTTACGTCTTAGACTCGTTAGAGGCCTGTTTTTGAATTCTGTCACTGTTAGCTATTTTAGTATTTACTAAAATTTACAATGTTTCCTACATTATTATTAATTTTGTATCGCTGTTTATTCTAGAGAATATGGAATATATAATATTAATAATAATCAGTAGTAATAGTAACGACCCTTTTATCTATTAGTTAATAGTAATAATAATGGTGATGGTGATATAGCAATTTTAAGTTATAACTTTTTTTTTTTTTTATTGGTATTACTTTTGTAAACAGTATGACCATGGGTACTTAAGTTTTTGCTTCTTCAAACTTGTAAGTTTAATGGCTTTAGTTTTTATCTGTTTGAATGGTTATGACCCCAAACAGATTGAAAATACAGAATCACGGAGTTATGATGGGGATTTGTTATACATGTATAATGTACAGTAGATTAAGTTGTAAAAACAGAGCAGTTGATTTTGGTGATATTTATAGTACTCGTCAAAAAAAGATAGCGAATTTCATATTCTTGACATGAAACGAATGAATTATTAATGTAAAAGCATTGTTAAAGAAAAAATATTAATGCACATCTATGTTTCATTTTAGGCCTCTATATACATAGATTGTGACACTTAAATTATAATTATCATAGCTGAACTGAACAAAAGTTACAAAAAAGAGATACTATAAGATGTAGAGAATAAAGGATCATTCAGTCCCTGCATAACCACTTTAAAGAAATACAAATTAAGTTCATCCTTTATTTTTAAGGAAATCAATGATTTCCCTATTAAACTTGTATAAAGTGTTCGTCTCCATTACTGCTGAGAACAACTCATTTCAAAAACATATCACTCTTTGAAAAGATAAACTGGATCTTAGCTGTGTTTTCTAAAAATTAAATTTGTGTCTGTTCATCCTGTTGTTCTCATAATTCCAAACTAAGAAGTTAAAGGTCTTCATCCTGTAATTCAGTAATATCACTTCTTAAGATAATCCCCAGAATTATCCTAGTAGCTCTCAACTGAACCTCTTTCAATAAGTCAATATTGCTTCTTACTATTATTTTAGTTCATGTTAGCTTAAGCAAGCTTTGTATGGGGCCCCTGCTGAGCAAACACTGCTTCTGATTTGAGTGGTTGATCCACTACTATACACGGTTCCTTGTCTTCAGTCACATTATTGAGTGGCTTCCTATTTATATTAAATCTGATCCAACTTTTGATAACCTAAATGCATTACCTTGAACTTAATATAACTAAAGATCATTTTCTATCTATTGATACAACTACCAATTGATTCATGCATTTTGTAATACATCAGCTGTTCAGTACAATTAGATATACCCAGGAATTTAATGATATCAGCAAACTTAACTAACTTATTAATTATGCCGTTATAAATATCATTAATATAAATAAAAAAAATAAAGACCCAAGCACTGACTCCTGAAGCACTCTACTAATTGCAGTTTAACTAAACTTTATTAATAACGATATTTTGCTTTCTCCCATCCAACCTTCCTACAATGCAATTAAACACTTTACCAGAATAATTTTTTGTGAGGTATGTTATTAAAATCATTTTTTTTGCAAACATACCCTTTCTATCAATAGGATATCACACACAATATTTCAACTTTGAGATGATTAGCCTTTTCACAGATTTATAAATAGTAGTTTATGGGGTTTTCAAGTGTCAGATTGCTAAAATAGAAAGAGTTGGGTGTTTATTTTTGAGCTTTAGACCATTTTCTTTTTGTCTTGGTTGTTTCAACTTTTCGTTATTACGTTTATCATGATAAGGTTACTAATTCTCATGAAAATGATGTTACTTAGTACTCTGTCATTCCCATTATAAAGGTAACTACTCCAAATTGATGTATAAAAAGTTAGATACAGTGTAACAGCCTCATTATAAAGATGACTTATCTTAACTCCAAACTGATGTATAAGAATTAAGGTACAGTTTAACAACTTTAAGATTGATTAGTAAAGGTTGACATAACATTGTATATATTTTAATAAAAAATTAACTACAATTTCCAAACAATTAAAACTGATATATTTTTATTTAATTTTGTTATAATATAGAATCCAGTTGTGGCTACCTGGCAACCTAGAAAAGTAATGGCCCCCGAAGTGCATCATCTTCCAACTCTTAAAGTGTCAGATGGTATAGGAAGTCAAGTTCATACCTTGGGTAGTGAAAAGGTCATATTAAAAAAATGGAAGGTGCATTGAAGTTTTAGTATATGTTGTGAAGTCTAAGTTAAGGAACATGTATTACACATAACTGTTTGTTCATGTTTGATTCAACTTTTATAAAAAAAAATCAAAGTAAAGTCAAGTTCATTGTTTGGGTATTGAAAAAAATCACCTTAAAAATATAAAGATGTATATTCTATGTTATACATCTTAACAGAATTAAAGAGTACTTATCGATTATTTATTATAGATTATACAACTAAATGTAACTGTTTGTATCTTTGTATTCTAGAGGTAAGTTTTTTTTGTGTGTAAACTTAACATGATGACAAGAAGGGATCACTGTTTTCCTTCAAGGTTGTCCTTGCAACCCATCAGGAAATTATCGATTCCCTTCTTAAGCTCCTGTAAAGTACTGGCCTCCACTACTTGTTATGGAAACTTGTTCCACAAATCACCCTTAAAAAAGAATAATAATAAAACAGGAGCCTAGCTTTCTTCTCCAAACTTTAACTTGTATCTTCCCATCTTATTTTCTTTAGAATACAGTATAAAGAAATTAGAGGCCTTAATAATATCAGTCCCAATGAGCATTCTTCTAAACTTCAACAAAATCTATTCTTACCCTTCCCTTCTTAAGAGAAAATAAGTAAAGACATGTAAACCTTTCCGTGTAGGATAACCCATCCATACTTAGAATCATTGTAGTAGCCTCCTTTTAACACTTTCCAATAAGTCTTTCTTAGACAAGAAGACCAAAATTGCACACAAGTGTTCCAATGAGACCCAATTAATGATATGTATGGAGATAATTATGTTCCTTGACTTGAAATCAGTCTATATATATAAAGCACAAAAACCTGTGTCTGTCTGTTATCTAGCTACTTTGTGGGATGATAGTTTGGAAGAAGAGGTATGTTAATGGGTATTCACAATCCCCTTCATTCCCATTATTGCTCTTATTGAGCATTTATTATATTTGACACAAGTTAATGTTAACTACACATCCTTACACCAAAAACAAAAAATACAATTTTCTATAAAACAGCATACACACAGTGGGAGGGGAGGGAACACAAGTATCTTGTATATCTTGGAGAGTACACTAGCATTCTGTGGAGGAGTGCAATGAAAAAAATGCATGCCACTATTGCAATACTACATAAACTCAGCTGATGTTTTTACCCCAACAACCACCTTAAGGCTGATGGGAAGAGCCATTTTTCAAGTTTTAACCACTTCCTACTCTAACCCATGACATTTCAACTTTGGCCCATAAGACACTTTTGTGACCAATGACCCTCACTTAATTAACCATGTAGAATTCTGTGGAACGACATTAAGAGCTGGATGTTGAAAGTGGGTAACTGAAAGCACTCCTACTGCCACTACCTCTTCCTACAAAGTCACTCTGACCACTGCATGTTTTATACCATGTTTTGGTATATACATATTGAATTCCTAAAGTTTATACAAAACTTTTGGTGAGGTAATAATGAATACTCGGAGGACAAAATAGTTTGGATTTGATTGGCAGAAACTGCTAAATAATATTGAATTTGGTTAGCAATTAGCAAATATTGCTTAGCATCTTTATCACATTCATAATTTTTAACACATTATGGCAACTAAATGTAGCACTAAGTCTTAACTCTATGTAAAAACATCCATTATGAAAAAGAGGTAAATGGTATGTTTGTATTCTAATAACACTTATTCAGCTTTAAACCCTAATATTTCATTGTACCATACATAGCATTTTATGAACAAAATAATTCCTGGTATATAAAGTAAAACTTCAAAACAGTCAGAAATGCCAAATGTCTCAACTGTCACGAAATAATTCAACAATTGATTAAACAGGGAAAGAAGTGACTTGAAGATATTCCAATGGAACAAAGTTGCCACAAATCATTTTTGAAATCTAGTTTTTCTTTTTTCTCTCCCTTAGTGTGAGAAATGCAACTTTTTCTCTAATTCTCCTCATCTTCTGTAATTTATTTACAACCCTCCACAAAATGTGAAATTTAACTTAAATCACTTATTATGATATTGTAATTACCCAGATAAAGCATAATTTTCATAGCCTTCAAGTTTGTTTGGTTACAGGGTTATCAAATTGAAAATCAGACCTGTCTTGCCACACCCACCTGTTACGTCCTCTCTTTCAGGATTTGTCAGTAGTTTTCTCATGTTCAATATTATATTATTTTTAACAAATAGAAGGCCAAGGTTTTCATCTATCAAATTATGTATTATATTACTTGTTTTATTATATTATTTATATTAATATTATATTATATTATTTTTAACAAATAGAAGGCCAAGGTTTTCATCTATCAAATTATGTATTATATTACTTGTTTTCTGTACAGAAAAATTTTAATTTCACTTTCATAACAAGCTTCCTTCCCACGGCAAATGCATTGACTAGCCTGGTAAAATTTGTAATGCCTATTGTCACATAGATAGAAAGCCAGAAAAATTGTGATAGTTGTGGGACATTGTCTGCTTTTTGCCTGTTATTATTCTATTTTCTTTGATGCATTATTTAATTAAATAAAAACTATTTAGTGCTCTACTACCATTAGTATAAAAAAAATTAGTTAAATGTGATTGAGTTGACAGAAAAAAAGGCCCAGGTAAGTATTTTATTTTTTGTTTTTCATGTGTATACTTTATTTATTATTATAAAAGTAACTCAAAGGTAAAAAAGGTAACTCTTTAGGTTAAAGTTAAATTAGGTCAAATAAAAATAATAATAATGTAATAAAAAAAATTTTCATAAGACATGCACATGAGCAGCTTGGAGTAGCTCATGGGTAATGTAGTTCGATAGTCTAACATGATCCTCGTGTTCCCCAAGTCATTTACAACTTATAATATAATGGATAGCTTATGATAACTTAGATTATTTTTCTGTGTGTATTTACGAGGTAGGTCAAATTGACCAACCTTGTATAGAGTTAGCGTAGAGAAAATAACAGATAAAATATAAAGTTTTACTGAAAAATCTGTTTGAAATATATTTAGGAGGTTTTACAGATTATGCAGATGACATTTGAGATGAAGAAAAGTATTTTTAATCTTAGCGTGAAAATCATTTTGCACTGAAACTGGTAAAAAAATCACTCGATATATTCATGGAGAAATCTTTAGTGAAAAGACTTCATTAAAAACTGATTTTTTGTATACAAACGACTTGTAATGTTTACTAAAAGTACCAAATTTTGTGAAGATACACATACTATATTAAAATTTATAGTATTAGAACTATATAGAAGTAAAAATGGTCATGTGGTCAGTCTTTGGGACCAAGCCCATATTGAGAGAGTTCGTAACCAGCTAAATGTGCAGTGCACGTACTTTACGTACATAGTCTAGTCTAGTTGGCTAGGCTGCAAAGTCAACTGAGTGCATTCCAAACATCATGAACAGACTACTACAAAATGTATGTGTTTGCGATATGCACATGACAACATGTGAAACTATTATGGCACTTTCAGTGTGTTGATGGAGGTCTCAAAGACAACATATAAGAGAAAGGAATGATTTGCACATTATGCTAAAAAAATTGAAAGTGATTTGCAAGTGGGGGTTGTTTTGATTTGCAAATTGTGATTCAGAACCAGATATTTTGTCCCATGGTACAATAATAATGTTATAAATAAATTGTGTGAAAGTTATGATTTTTGTGTTATTTATCATAACATCCACCCACACTTTTTTCTTAAGTTTATAACCCAGAGGAAGGATGGTTACCTCAGCTTGTATGTTTATAAATACACCCAAAAATTATATTAGCTTAAATAAACAGAGCAGTGCTTTGATGGCTTGAGTGACTTATCCACTACTATGCCAAGATTCTTTATCAGTCATGCTATTGAGTTGGTTCCCATGTGTAATATCTGTGTGATCCAAATTATAATTCAAATGCATTACTTTGCACTTACTATTGTTAAAGGTCATTAATCCAACCCATTCTGTAGTATCTTAGTATCTTCAATACAACTGCCTAGGAGGTTTGTCATCACAAGCTTTAGTAATTTACTTGTTATATCAGTATTATTAATGTAAATGGGAAAGAGCAAAGATTCGAGCATCAATAGCTGAAGTACTCAACAAATAACAATGAACTTGAATATGTTGATAACATTTTGCTTTCTACATCCATCTACCCACTCTTTATTGACTGACTAAAAATATAAGAGAGAGAGAGAATTGCATCTCTAAAACTCTGTGGAGAAATCTTGTCTGTACTTGATGCATTTATCATCTTTTTAGTCACTAGAAAGGGACTGATATCTAAATATTTCATGAAATGCTCAGTCAAAAATATTGCTAATATCTTCTTTTATAAATACAGAAGTAAACATTTAAAACTCATCCACCTCAAAATCTTCAACAAAAACTTTGCTATCATTATCCAGTGGTTCACTTACAAATGTAACTCGTGATTAGAGAATCGAAGGTTCAATTTATCCAAAGTAATGTTGTATATTCTTAAAGAGGGATACTTGTACTCTGTTACATTGAGCTTCTTTTACTTGAAGTTGTGTGTTATACAGTTGTTTCTGCATGTGCATTCAAGCAGTCAAATGGTTTAGATATTACATCAAAACATAAACCACTGAAATCCTTGAATTGCTATTAAGGACATATAATATACACATGGTTTATGCTTATGTAAAAATTTCACAGTTTGCCACAGTTAAAAGTTGAACCTCTTCATGTTAAAAACATTATTTTATTATATTAATAAACTACATCTACAAACAACACCCTTGATAACTGTTCATGTGTAAAAGCAAAAAAGCAATTTGTTGGAAGACTAATACATCATGTTTTTGAGGAGTTTTTGAATCAGAAGTTCGTGAACATTTATTTGCATGTTAAAAAGCAGATGAAAACATTAAAATTATAGGCAGCCTAATAATCAATGTTAAGCTGTATATGCTTGCTCTCTTGTGAAGTAAGTTTTTAAGATAGCATTAGCGTGGATTAAAAATAAATCTTTTCTTTTGGTACTCTGCCTTCAGGGTGTTATTTTTTTTTTAATTGGTGCAGTTTTGCTACCTTTAAAAAATTTAGGCTTCAGGACTAAGAGTCAAACAATCTGGTTTTCTTTTATTTGGTATAGGAATTTATTTTTTATTTTAGAGATATTGAAATTGGTGGCATTATGTAATAATTGTTAATTATCTGCCACACTTGTTGGTTAGGTAGTTTATTGAGAAATAAGTTGATATTTGGTTCTTGGTTATTTCTGTGAATTTTTGAAACTTGTAGTTTTACCTGTTTTGACAAAAATCTCTAAATTTATGTATTTTTTTCCCTTAAATGTGTGTCAAATGCTGTACATGTAAAAAATTTTTATCTACCTCTGTTTTCTTTTAGAATGATAGAATGATGCTTAGTGAATATGAAGAAATGAGACAGAAGAATATTGCAGAAAAATTGGCTATGCTACAGTCTCTTCAAATTATAAAGGTTTTTTTTCTCTTTTTTTCAGTAAAAGTTGATATGTTCAAGTTTGCAGGTTTCTGATAGTATTGTGGCTTATTCTCTTGTGTAGGTATTCTATATGGTAATGTTACCTTCCATAGTTATAGTTAATGAATACTGATTTGATGATACAGAGTTCTGTAAAATAAACTAAGATACCATGAAAGTAAATCATGTTGAGTAAATTTAAGAAGAAAAAATATGCTGTTTTCATTGTTGATGTTGTTAAAATAAAATTGTTTCTGGATACATGCAACAAAAAAGTTAAGGTGGGTAGGTAAAAAAATTTCTTTTATTAACTCTGTTGACTTAAGAACATGGTTTTTGAAACCATCATGCACTTTGTGTTTAAGCATTATGATAGTTTTTATTTTTTTTAATGACATTAACACACGAATTTCTTTCAATAATTCAATACTTTTAATTTTAGAGGTTACATTTCAGACATGTCAAGTAATCGCAAGCACCCCAAACATCGAGCAGCTTGCAGAACTTTCTGAGATGATAACTCTCCTCTTCACACAGTTTAGCCAGGGAGACTTGCATGCCACTAGCCTCAAGGCAACTCTTACCTAGTTTCACGTGAATTGTGCTACTGCATGATGACATTGTCACAAAAGCCCTCCACCAATAAGAGGGCAAAACACCTCCATGCACTTGAACTGATGGTACAGAGCTCTAGATAAGATTTTAGGTCAATGAGTATTTACTCCATGAAATCCAACTCCATGGTGAAAAGCAAAATTTCAATGAGAATTTAAAACAATCTACCTTTTTCTCCTTAAGGTACAAAATTCTTCTTACATATTATAAATTCTAAGCCTTAGGCTTTATAATAAGTAAATATTTGTATCTTAAGGAAAAAAAAAAGGTACATGTACAAATCATTACCTTGACATTGCTCTGCCACATAGAGGTAGTCTTCAGTCTAAAGGTAGAAAAAAGCCATTCTTTCTTAAAGTATTCCCCTGCAGTCATGTATTACAAAAGTGGCCTGCTCAAAATCTGATATGAATAACTGAGTTTATAACTGACTAGTATCTTTGCACTTGTGTCTAAGTCTCTTACAGTTCTGTGTCTGCTAAATAATATACCCAAAACTGTAATTAGACTTAAAAGATTCCAGCACTTTCTGTGTGTAAATACCAACAACTTGAACTGTTTAACTTCAAAAACTTTCACATATTTACATGTTAAACTGCATAAACGTCAAGTTCAGTGCAAGAAATGATGAGATCATCTATTTTCCGACCGATCTTAGCACTGTCTTCAGTTTTATCATCTCGAGTGAAATATTTTTTGTGTAATTCTTCTTAAGTCCTTCTGGTCACACACTAACCTGTCGATGAAACAACATTTTTGTGATCTGTGTATCGTGAGTGCTTGATAGAGTCGGTTTATATATAAAAAAAAAAAAGAGCTTTTGCTGACTCAAATTACATTAGACTGACCAGTTCCACTAGAATTGAAGTGGCATGTCATATTTACCTGGATAGTGGGAAACCAAGTTGTGTCTGCTCAATTAGCTTACATAAATTTATGCCAGATGAAAACAATAAATCTATTCCGGCCAATTTTCGAAGTATTTTTTATACCAAGATCTGATTTTTAATGCTTTTTTTTAGGGAAAATACGCATGAATACGCAGTACGCATCCTTATCTATAGCTCTGATGCTAACTTCATTCTTTTCCTTGGCAAGGCTTTGAACAAACATGTTTAATTGTTTTGTTCGAATTCATTTTATTGAGATTTGCATCATTAATCCTCACTCCACTGGCATCTTTTTCTGTGCATATCAAGAAGTTTTAGTGAGTTACATTCAAAATTTGTTTAAATTCTTTCTTCTCATGCTATGCCAATAAATATAGCATAAAAAACATGGCTAATAATACATACTTTAATAGTATATAACTTTAACTTCTAAATTTTAGATGGCAATACTTAAAAAAAAAAATTCTTGAATTTCCCCTAGTATAAAAATTGACATATTCTCTTTAGCCATCCCCTCTTCTCTAATTTATTTACCACACCTCCAAGAAGTATGAAATCTAATGTAAATTACTCATTATAATGTGTCATCACTCAGGGAAAATATAATTTGTATAGTCTTCAATCTTATTTGGTTACAGAGCACCAAATAAAAAATCAGGCCCCTCTTGCCACACCCATCTGTCACATCCTCTTTTTCAGAAATTGCCAATAGTTTTCTCTGACATTCAATACTATATTATATGTAATCAGTAGAAAGCAAAGGTTTTAATCTATCAAAGGATGCATTATATTACATTGCTTTCTGTACAGGGAATTGTCAGTTCCAATTCCAGTTTAACCTTTATTCCAATGGGAATTACATTGATGAGCTTAAATGAATTTTTAATGGCTCTTGTCGCACAATTAGAAAGCCAGAAAACTTGATAGTTATAGGGCATTGTCTGCATTTGCCTGTTATAATTCTCTTTTCTTTGGTGCATTATTTAATTAAATACTAAATTTAGCGCAGTCCTATCATTAGTATAAATAAAAAGGATTGTGTCATTGACAGTCAACAGCAAAAAAAAAAAAAAAAAAACAAAAAAAAAAAAGAGGCAACAACAACCCAGGTAAGTACTTTAATTCTTGTTTTTCATATGTAATCTTTATATATATTATTACAAGATAAATAATAAAATTGTTAATTTAAAAATTGCAAGTACGGATCATAAATAAAATAAGGAAACAAGGCGGGATACTGTAGGCATTATTTACTCAAACAACAAACTATTATTTTGGCTCCATGCTCTTACCTAGAATTACATTTGGTGGTGTCAGAATAGGGATTTATAGTTTGAGTAAATAATGTCTGCAATCACTATTTGCAGGTTTTTAAATTCCCAATGTTTTATTTATTTTGTTTGCTCAACTATGAGCAAAGGATTACTTGATATGGAAGTTGACTTTATACATTGTAATTATAATATACATAGTTAGTAGCTAGCTGATACGGTTTTTGATGATTTACTGTAGTTATTGACTATTTGATCTCGTTAGTTCAAGATGTAAAATATTAAGCTGCAACTGGAGATTGTCGTGGAGATTTGTTTGAGAATGTAGTGAGCATTTATAGTTTGCATAATTAAATTATCTATGATATAATGTATAGCAATGGACAAATACATGCCTAGACTGAGACACTACCTTCATTAAGCACATATAAAATTTTACCAGTAGAAAAGCAGCCTTTTCGAATAAAACTTACATCTAAAACATTATTTTAAATAAACCTTTGTGTCTTTTAAAGTAATTATTCTATGAATGTGTGTAATAAAAAATTTAATTTTTATATATATACTCCTTCACTTCATACATAATATAGGGTTTGGCTCCTGAATAGTGTACAAAGCATTTAGTGTCTACATGTTAGTTATCTAATTTTCTTCTATTATTAGCTGGTAATTCAGGTTTCACCCTGTAATTAATATTTTTAAAGGAACACCAGATATTTTTAAGAAAGCTAACTTCAGGGAATAATGATAACATCATTTACACTAAAAATAATGATGTTTTTTTTTTTCATTATGTAAAATATCAAAGAAACAAATTGACTTTTCAATACTCCTACAACCTTTGCAGTACCTTATTTAGTATTCTTAAGAAAGTTTGGGTGCAATATATTGAGCTGTTTTTGCTGGCAAAAGAATAAGAAGAAGAATTACAAACAGGCCATTTTGAGCAGATTTTCTTTTCTTTGTAAGTCTAACATGTGTGCTTTTATTGTGCATTTTTATATGTGTACAACCTTAGCTGTCAATATTAAAGGTTGTGCAATTCCTTTTGATCCCTATTATGAACCACTATTGTGGTTTGATAAAAGTAACTAAAATGTAAAAATAGTAAACTAGGTTCATAAGGTATGCTCATGAGTAGCTCGTGTGTAATGTAATTTGATAGCATAACATGACCTGCATGTCCTCCAAATGACTTACAATTTATAATGGTGCAAATAGTAGCTAGACCTGGTTCAAAGAGTATTAAAATAATAAAGTTAAGTATAAATAGATGTATACTTTTACGAGTTTAAAGCTATTTAGGATAAACAGTTTCATGTTACAATTTGAAGTCTTTTTTAGAAAGAAAAAAGGATAATTAAAATTTTTGTGTGTGTGAGTTATTATGGGACCCGTCATATAGTTGAACCTTGTATAGACTCATAATAGAAGTAGGTTAGAGAAAATAACAGATAAAATATGAAGTTTTACTAAAAAAAAATGTGCAATTTATTTAGGAGATCTTGGAGATTATGCAAATGAAATATGAGATTTTTAAGACTAATAAAAGTATTTTTAATCTTAACATGTAAATTACTTTGCACTCAGACTAGTAAAAAAAATGTATAATCATGGAAAAATCTTTAGCAAAATACTTCATTAAAAATACTGATTTGTGTGTGTGTGTGTGTGTGTGTGTGTGTGTAGTACAAAAGAGCTGTAATGTTTACTAATGACAGCAAAATGGTTACCAGGTTGGCAATGACAGCAATTTATACTTGGTCTTTGGGGGTGGTATTGGTTACACTTCCGGCCTTTTTATT